GGAAAAGCGATGGGGCAAACAACAAAGCTGGCAAAAACAAGTTAATAAAGCAGTTGCAGCTGTAGCACCTCCTCAATTTCAGTTCAGCTTCTACTCTGCTCATTTCAAACTCCTTGTTTGCCTGCACTTCACAAAACTGCAATCTTGTCATTTAGGAAATTGGGCAACTTTTTCTTAAAAGTCTGCTTCGAAAGCACAAAAGTCGAGCACAGCAGAAGCTAACCACAAAATAATGCAAGTATATTTATATATTCTTGAAATTAAGTGAAGTCAATTAAAAGCAAACTGTAAGTCTAATAAAGTTCCGTATTAATTATACAAAAATTGTGAATACACAAGAATAAACTTGAAAAACTGTTAAGTAAAGTACTTAACATCAAACATAAAGGAATCATAATCTCGATGCTTTGAGACTTCAAGACATACTCTGACTTTCAGTCATTCAACCATTCAGCCATTTTCTGCAAGTGTATCTCTTTGGGCAATGTCCCACTAATTGTGTGCAACATGGTCTATCGCTTTGCGCAAACACCTCGCCCGAAACACGTAGGACACCCACAGGACACCTCCTTTAAAAGGTTTCCCGGCCAACCCCTTCGATACGCTTTCTCTTCATTCCATTTTTACTGTTTGCGTTAATTGAAAACTTTTTTTGCCAGCAGATATTCGTATTTTTCGCAGCATGGCAAAAAACAAAACTGAATTGGAAAACTTTTCTAGTTTTTCCACGCAACAAACTACAAAACGGGGTGTGGAAAGTTGTCGTAAGTAGAAGTGCAACTCTGAGTTTGCAACGCTTTGCCGCCTTTCATTTGTTTAGACCTCCGCCTGAAAGCTTTAAGTTCCAGTGGTCTACCTTTCCCACCATCAAAAAAATGGGGGAAAAAATAGCCCAAATTCACAGCCAGACTTAAAAGTGTTTGTGTTTCCTCTTAGAACTTTGGCGGCCAATTAGTTGGTTGCACTGAAATCCGACAGAGGGACGGGATTTTGGGGGCTTCAACTGGTTGTGGCAGCTGTTATATTCGAGACTTGGTCTTGGCCAAATCGGAAATCCACTCTAAGCTGTTTGGGTTTCCGCATTTTTATACCCGTCACTAGTAAAAAGGGTATACTAGATTGGTTGAAAAGTATGTAACCTGCAGAAGGAAGCGTTTCCGACCACATAAAGTATATAAGTATATTCTCGATCAGGATCAGTAGCCAAATCGAACAGGCCATGTCCGTCTGTCCGTCCGCCTGTCCGTATGAAACGCATACAAATTTAGAATTTTTTTTTTTATGTTATGATGTAAAAATTCAACAAAATAAAAAAATGTCCTAAAACTGAGGTTTCAAACTCCATAACTCAACTTATCTTAATCGGATTTTGAAGTGGAATACCTCAAAATGTTTCTGGCGCAATTCTCTAAAAATCTGCATTCAAAATTAAAAATTTATTTTTTTTAAATTTTTTTGTAACTTTTTTGATGTTATGATGTTGAAGAAATTCAAAAAAATAAGAAAAGTCCTAAAACCGAGGTTTCAAACTCCATAACTCAACTTATCTTAATCGGATTTTGAAGTGGCATACCTCTAAATGTTTCTGGCGAAATTCTCTAAAAAACTGCATTCAAATTTAGAAATTTATTTTTTTTCAATTTTTTTGTCATTTTTTTGATGTATGATTGTACAAATTCAAAAAAATTAAGAAATGTCCTAAGGCTGAAGTTCTAAACTCCATAACTCAACTTATCTTAATCGGATTTTGAAGTGGAATACCTCAAAATGTTTCTGGCGCAATTCTCTAAAAATCTGCATTCAAATTTGGAAATTAATTTTTTTTCAATTTTTTTGTCATTTTTTTGATGTATGATTGTACAAAATCAAAAAAATTAAAAAATGTCCCAAGGCTGAAGTTCTAAACTCCATAACTCAACTTATATTAATCGGATTTTGAAGTGGCATACCTCTAAATGTTTCTGGCGCAATTCTCTAAAAAACTGCATTCAAATTTAGAAATTTATTTTTTTTCAATTTTTTTGTAACTTTTTTGATGTTATGATGTTGTAGAAATTCAAAAAATATAAGAAATGTCCTAAAACTGAGGTTCTAAGCTCCATAACTCAACTTATCTTAATCGGATTTTGAAGTGGCATACCTCTAAATGTTTCTGGCGCAATTCTCTAAAAAACTGCATTCAAATTTAGAAATTTATTTTTGTTACATTTTTTTGTAATTTTTCTTATGTAGAAAAATCAAAAAATATAAAAAATGTCCCAAGGCTGAAGTTCTAAACTCCATAACTCAACTTATCTTAATCGGATTTTGAAGTGGCATACCTTTAAATGTTTCTGGCGCAATTCTCTAAAAAACTGCATTCAAATTTAGAAATTTATTTTTTTTCAATTTTTTTGTCATTTTTTTGATGTATGATTGTACAAAATCAAAAAAATTAAAAAATGTCCCAAGGCTGAAGTTCTAAACTCCATAACTCAACTTATCTTAATCGGATTTTGAAGTGGCATACCTCAAAATGTTTCTGGCGCAATTCTCTAAAAATCTGCATTCAAAATTAAAAATTTATTTTTGAAAAATTTTTTTGTCATTTTTTTGATGTATGATTGTACAAAATCAAAAAAATTAAAAAATGTCCTAAAACCGAGGTTCTAAACTCCATAACTCAACTTATCTCAATCGGATTTTGAAGTGGCATACCTCTAAATGTTTTTGGCGCAATTCTCTAAAAAACTGCATTCAAATTTAGAAATTTATTTTTTTTCAATTTTTTTGTCATTTTTTTGATGTATGATTGTACAAAATCAAAAAAATTAAAAAATGTCCCAAGGCTGAAGTTCTAAACTCCATAACTCAACTTATACTAATCGGATTTTGAAGTGGCATACCTCAAAATGTTTCTGGCGCAATTCTCTAAAAATCTGCATTCAAAATTAAAAATTAATTTTTTTTTAATTTTTTTGTTACTTTTTTGATGTTATGATGTTGAAGAAATTCAAAAAAATAAGAAATGTCCTAAAACCGAGGTTTCAAACTCCATAACTCAACTTATCTCAATCGGATTTTGAAGTGGCATACCTCAAAATGTTTCTGGCGCAATTCTCTAAAAATCTGCATTCAAAATTAAAAATTTATTTTTTTAAAATTTTTTTGTAACTTTTTTGATGTTATGATGTAGAAATTCAAAAAATATAAGAAATGTCCTAAAACTGAGGTTCTAAGCTCCATAACTCAACTTATCTTAATCGGATTTTGAAGTGGCATACCTCAAAATGTTTCTGGCGCAATTCTCTAAAAACTGCATTTAAAATTAAAAATTTATTTTTTGTTCATGATGTCATGATGTTGTAGAAATTCAAAAAATATAAGAAATGTCATAACCGACATGATTTTAATGACAACAAGATTATTGTCTTCTCTGAGAGATAAAACAGTGAGAACAGTACAAAGGATACTTGAAAGGATGCAACACAATTATTCGTTGCATACCCTTTAATCATTTTTTTTTCCAAAATTAAAATTTAAAATAGAAATAACTTGTGTACTTACGATTTCCCGCTGCAGCTTGGCGATGTTGAAGTTTGCCTGGGCGAGCCTTACACTTAAGGTGGCCACATCGCTGGTCAACTGGGCCCTTTCGCCGGCATTTCGATCCACCAGCTTGAGCATCTTGTCCTCCAGACTCTGGTTGACCTTTTGAACCCGCTTGTGCGATTCGTACAGCCGATCGTACTTGTCCTGCCACGCTATCACACTATCCTCGAGCTCCACTTGACGCTCTGTTTCCCTCAAACAGGCCGATTCCAGGGCATATAGCTGTGTTTGCTTCTCGATTAACGCCTGTTGCAGCTGCTCAATTTCCGCTGCCGTGGGGGCGGAAGTGGCAAGGGGCGTGGCAGATATAGCCGCCGCCGCTGTCGCCGTGGATATTGACGTTTTTGCAGTTGATATCTCCGCTGGCTTCGGATTGCCCGCTGTGGCCGCCTGCAATTGAGTAAACACGCAAAATGAAATTATGAGCTGCAAATATTTTGTAATTAATTTTGCTTCCGGAGAGCCCAAAACAACAACGCATACCGGACGCAAAGTGTCACACGGTTTCGACTACAGAAGACACACTGAAAAGCGCCGGACAAAGCGAACTCCGTCGAATGCCGCGGACAGCTTCATTATTTTGCCAGTGGATCTCCTCTCCCGGTGTTTTTTTCGTTCTTTTGCTTAATTTTAAAACCTCATTTTATAAAGCTTTGAGCGTGCTGTGTCATAAAAATGCTCATCATGCACGGGAATTTGTGAGCAGAGGGAACTTAACCCATAACGTGCAGCATCTGCTGCAGATAAGGTATTAATCAGCGGGTTAAGGTGGGGTGAAAGGTGTTATACCCTCTGAAGTTCTTTCGAAAATGTTCTAATTACTTTGATTTCAAATAAAAGGAGTGATATTTCATTTCAATTTAATTGCCAGTTTCAAAAGTGGACCATACTCTGAAATTTTTCAATTCCGTACACCAAGTACAAGTACATTTATTATTTAAATAATTTAGGAAATGTATTTAGGAAGCACACAATAAGTCTTTAAATCCATAAATACATACACCCCACAATCCACAGGGTAGAGTATAGTATAGAACATGGATCTGGAGCTCTTGACAACTGATAAGCGCAGTGTAAATGTGGATTATACAGCACACAAACAGCGGGCAATTCGAAAATCATTGCGAGTGTAATGAAACAAGAGAGACAATTTGAAGAGAACCTAAAATGAGATAATACCTGAGAGCTTTGGGCTTTGTAAGCATTTAATCAGCCCAAACATATATACATCTATGTTAATATACAAACATTTAAGTAAATCTTTAAGAATGAAACAATTAACAACAAGCAATATTCATACAATATGAAAAGTATTTAACTGACATTCGCCAGTTATTTAACAGAAGAAAAGAAGAAAAGAATTGCGTTTTGTCAATAAACCAATGTTTTGCTCGAGATAAGACACACAAATATTTAACTGACAGGTCTGGAAGAATTTTCTATTTCCTTTATCTTAATTAGAATTGCCAACCATGGTCGACACCTATAAAAACGCGGTGGTAAGCTCAAAAACCATTGTAAATCCATTTTGGTTACAGTAGCTGCAATACAACATGATTTGGATTTGGAGCCTAATTACACTGGGAATAGTTGTTGGCGCAACGGGAGGCGTGTTTATTAATTCGGTTTAGTATTTAAAATCTTTCAACGAATCAAAACTGATTTATATTTTACAGAGGACCGAAAGTTCGATAGCCCCAAGCACAACAACAACAAAGGTAAAATCTGCCAAACCCTAAGACCGCACTAAATTATGCGGAATCCCTTTTTCCAAAATAGTTGTTTATGTTAAAAAAATGTATATTTATCTCTTAGCCGACATCCTTAGCCGAATCGAAAAATATGCAAACTACTGTGGATCCATTCACTGCACTCGATAATAAAATAACCAATGATCTTCAGAATATTCTAAGCAAGTATGAGCGTGAATGCATGGGTAATTCGGAATTTACAGAAAATATTGACCTCGTACGCAAAGCGGCAAAATGGAGCAAAGAACGTTTGGAAGATAAGTTAGACGCTAGAAAAGATTTCAATATATACAATGAGAAACGTATTTCTCTTGAACAACAAATTGATGAGCGCATAGAGGCCCTCAATAATATCCTGCCTACCCAACAACCGAATAGTCGTTGCTCAAAATTTTACTTGAAACAAAGAGAAACTCTCAAGAATTCCAAGCAACTTTCGAATAAAGGAAAAATATCCGCTTTACATAATAACACTGAAATTTGCAAGAGCAAGGATAACGATGATTACGATTACTATTACGATTATAATTACTAGCATAATCAGAAATCTGAAATGTATTTATATTTGAAATTACAAATGAGTATCGAAAATGTTGAATAAAGTATAAAATTACTAATAATACTAGTAATACAAATGTCTTTTGTACATTTATTTAATTTATTTCAGCTTTGCCCAGTTAGAAGAGTACCGAGTACTCTTCCTTGTCACTCCAGTCACGACCTCTTCTAATCCATAACGCGGTTATCAATATCAATACTCATCCATCTCCGGTTTGTCCAATTAAGTTGGGGAATGTCGAGTTTAGTTGCAAGTCCCGACGCAGATGGCCGGGAATCAAAGTGCAAAACTACGTTGGCAAACAACTAATTGGATTAACTTGACACAAAAACGAGAAGGAGTTGCAGCCAGAATGTCGCCAGTGGAAACTTTGTCTTTGGTTACTCCTTCGGACTCCTTGAAAGCGTTGCAAAACCACATGAGTTTTCCTTTCGTCACATACGACATGCGACATGCGAGTTGGCGAGGGAAAGTCGCCTGAGCTCAAACCTAAAAACTGCAAAATGTACAGAAAATTTAATTAAAAAAGGATTTTCGGCCTGTGTGCCAGTTGCTTGGCTTCCTCGTCTTCGCTGAGTTGGCCCCTTTCGATTTTTCCCACATTTTCCTGCTCGAGTCAAATAATTTTTCTTCGCACTCCATTTCTGCCAACAACGCATAAGAAAATTCAATTTATAGTTTGTGTGTGTGGACGTGGCAAATTGCCAAAGACAGACAATGCTATTAATTAATTTGGAAAGCATTTGCCGGGCGGAAGAAGGCGGTAACAATTAAAATGGAACCGGTTAAAGTGCCGTCGGGGTGTTTTTGGAGTCTAAAATGAGATGAAGAGTTGGCCAAAAGTTTGCTTTTGGCCTCCCCATGTGCGAGTTTCCGGTTCAGTTTAGGTACATACATACTCGTATTTATGTGGGCATATGATACTCGTACTTGTTTTCCCTCTATGATTTGTTTGCCTTTGGTCATTAAAACCGTTTTCATGTTTTCACATTTTTCTGTCTTTGGCCGACATTTATGTTAGGTTTTTGCAAGCGCCCAGTTTTAAATAATTTATTAAATGCTTTTTGTTTTGATGTACACAAATAACTTAACAAGCTAAAAGAGGCAGCTTTTCCGGTGCCTAAATGGCGATTATCTGTTAATTTTTTGTGCAATTAGTTAATCAGTTTTAACCGATTATTAAGGCTTAAATGGTAAAATGAAAAACAGGCTTGATTATGGTTTTTTAATGCAAAGCAATGTATCTTGTTCGGTTGAAATCGTATGTGGCACCTATTTTACCATCAGTAAGCTGAAGCGACAATTTAATGTCGCAATATAGATGAATTAATGAACTATAAATTATAGGTGGCAACAGAAATCCGTTTATAATTTGTTATAAGCCATAGTTCTAAAGTCATTTGAGTGCTGGTAATTGTAAACCAAAGTGCATCACCCGCTTGTAACCAACTTAATTCAACTTTATGTCAGATTGGAGCTGAAAAAGCTCCTCAAATAAATCATCTAATATCAAGCACTCTCTTTTCTTTCTGGAAACTCACTTCAATCCTTGCGCTGCTCATTTTTCTCAGTTAAGAACTCGCGTAGAACTCGCAGAAAGGAAAAGCAGCTCGTCGAGTTTTCCCATGCACGCTGATGACTCTCCGAAGAGGCTTTTCTAATTGTCATGCTTCCGCTTGGAGTGCATTGGAAAACCCAGAAAGTAATAAGGAGAGCTGGAGAAAATGGCAAACAAAAAATGGGGAGTTCGGTGTCCCTGTCATTATTTATTATGTTGCTCAAGTCTTTCATTACACAAGCATTTTTGTCTTTCATTTGTTGCCGCTGTGCTGAAAAAAAGCAACAGGGAAACGCGGGAGAATTTCTTATCAGCCTTACCGAGGATGTTGCCACATTCCTTCACTGCTTATTTACAGTTATTCGGTTGCTCATTTTGCCCGCCATTTTTCTTCTTACCCCACACAAAGGCTTAAAAAGATGTATGAACCGGAAGTGTGGCGCCCAAGCAGACTTGCCACATTGGAATAATGCCCATCATTACAAAGTGCGAGGCCCATTTCAAAACACATTGAAGGGAGATAAGTAGGCAGTGATTTCTAATTGGAAATGTATGTGATTTTAAAAATCACTGAAATCACTATAAATCACTTCAACCTTGAATTCGCATAAAGAGGTGGATATTTTGATGGCAGAAGGCCGCCACTCTCATTTTTCAATGCAGACTTTTAGGCACCCTCTCAAAGGAAATTATAAGCCGACTTATTTAATTTAATGGTACGTTTAAGAGTACCCAGAAAACCTCTAGCTGCTTTAGGAACAAACTTAGCTGTTCAGCCTCATTTGAGGGGATAATTACAGATTACCCAAAGTCGACGGCCACCTCGATTTCGTCCTTGTTGTTTCAGTAACCCAAAACTCGCGACTTTCTTCGGTCTCAATCGATAAACAAATGCGGTAAACATCAATGGGCAGCGGAACAGGACCCAGCGGGAAACGCACGACGCCCAAGAGTGCTTGGGCAAACAACCTCGTTGGATGATGAATGGAAGGTCAATTGCCGTGACCCCAGCGCAAAGGAAATAAAACTGGGGCCAGTGGCAGCGCTGACATTTAACGCAAAGCGACGCGGTCCTGTCAATGCCAATGTCCTGGATGAGAGGCCAGGATGTGAGGATGCAGGGTGCAAAAGGAAAGGAATGGAATGGAGCCGGGGCAACTCGAGATCCCGACGAGGAATGCTTATGCGAATGCTTGGGCACAAAAACATACGTGACGGTCCCCAGTTTTGCCACCCAATCTACAGCCGCCCTTTATATTCATGGATGTTCTGCAGTCGAAGAAACTTGACTTCAAATAATGGGCAGGAAAATGTAAGCCGCACTTGAATAATAACCACCATTTTAAATCGGAATATGGCTTAATCACAGCTGCCTAAGTGTATGCAACAATATAGTTTACAACTGAAAGTCATTCATTACCAAGACAACCCTAATATTTCATTGCCACTTTTAGCTATCTATAGATGAGTGATTTCAAACAGCAAAGACATTTATTTCGGAATTATTTTTCCAAGTGTCCTTAAGCGGCGGCAGCGATGTGCACCGCCTGACAGCTGAAGGAAGACGAATAAATGAGAGGTCTGGCATCGGAGAGGCGAAATCCCTCAGCTGGAAAAATGCCTCATCTTGGCCTGACAGTTCGCCGAGTTGCGTCAACTTGTCGTCATATTTTTCAGTCAACTGAAAGTTCTCTATGACTTCCTCGATGGGAGGATGTATGTGTGCTGTGTGTGTAACGAGGCGACAGTGGTCCTAGTTGGGTGTGTGACTGTGTAATTAGGATAATGGTTGCAGTGGCAAACCATTCAATATGATATTTATAGAATGTTCCGCAATCGCTTTGGGTTCTTTTACGATTTGCGGAGCCATTTACCACGACACCTTCATTCTAAATTTATGATTCCATTTGCTGTTTAATCGGGATCTGACACCTTTAGGAAAGTATGCGTATACAGTATCTATAGATCCTTATATAGTATATTATATATAGTATCTCTTAGATGCTAGCGAGCAGGTCTTGCGCTTAAAAATGAAGTACTTCGCTAAGCGCCAGATATTTGCTTTATTTTTCATTTAAGCACCTACCTAACTAAAGTCAAATAGTCAAGGACACCACTGTGCATTATCGTTAGGCGCACAGAAGGGCCCTAAATGTGAATTGTGTGTATCCGGGCACATTGCTTATTGTGTTTATCTGTGTCGGGTTGAATATTCCGGACAATTTTCGACTGACACATTATGTTAATACGCTTGTAGCTTAGCGCTGGCGAATATTGAACTACATATGTACGTATGTATATGTACATGCGGCAGTTATCGTTTTGTATTCAAATCGAGACACGCACACACGTGCCGCGAAAGACGCGCAAAATTTATGCACATTTTGATGACATTTTGAACGCATAACGCAAAATGTCAAATACATAAAAATGAAAAGCCGGTGAAACGAGTAACCAAGTGAAAGAGTAAACCAAATGTCGAAATCATTTCGCATAACACACGCACATACCGAATTCCAACCGAAAGTCCCTTTTCTACAGAGTGAAAAAATATTGTATGTGGTTTTATACTAGCTGTTTCAGCCCTCGAACAGTTCAATTATATTTAAATATTTTTTTGTTTAAAACGGTTTATGAATGTATGTTAGTGTTAATTCAACAATGCTACCCGACTATCAATGATGTGTGTGACTATTTTCTCAGTGTATTAAAATACATATCGAATAACGCGAAGCGGAAATCGATGACGGCCATTTGCCGTAAATTGAGGCATTTTGCTCCAACACTCTTGTAATTGTACCGCTGAAAGATGGAAAGTGACGATGGGGGAAAACGGGTGGGTTGCAGGAAAATGGCTGGGGAAAATGTAGAAAAAAGGGGCGGGGGCAAGGATATCTGCTCTGCGGCTGCGACACATTCAGCCGGCTATTTTTAGCTCGATTTTCATTTAATTTGCTGCCCATGCTGCATAACTAAAAATGGCGAACGGTAGTCAAGCTTCAAGTCCATAGGAGGGTCAGGAAAATCGGGAAAAGCGGGAAAAGTGGAAATAGCGGGAAACCAGGCGGCGGTTTATGTTTTTCAATTACTCTGGCCGCAAAATTTGCAATTTAGATAGCAATTTTTAGGGGCACATTTCAGCGTTTCAGTGTTTCTGTGTATTTTTTCCACGCGCTCCATATTTATTTCATTTTTGTTGGTAGTATCCGTGCAATTTGGCAAATTGTGTGCAGGGGGCAAAAACCACGTATGTGCGTGGCTAATACCAATTTCTAGTCAATTACGCAAAATTTGAATGTTTAAAGAGCCAACGTTTTTTTTTTTTGCATGCTAGCGAACTCAATTTGTTGAGCGCAAAATTTTTTGGGGCCAATTGAAATTTGCAAAATCTCGTTAGCAGTCAACTTTTTGGCTGAAA